TCCTGCGAATCACTGTCTCTGAAACGTGCCAGAGGGTCAGCTATGAGGAGGTTCCGACTCGACGGCGCACAGCAAAAGCAAAAGCTAATGATTGCAAGCATTTCTCTGTGCGTTTGCTGACCTCCTGAGCATCTTCGCTAAGGAAATATCTGCTCGTGTTCTTTGCTCATTTTAAAGGAGATTGTAATTTTGTTGTTGAAGTTTTCTATAAAATTGAAAGCCTAGTCCCTTATCAAAGAGTCCTGGTGGCGTAATGGTGAGAAGCTGTGCTGCAATCCTAAAGGCATGCAGTTCAAATCCACCAGTTGCTCTGCAGGAGAAGGATGGTCAATCTCAACAAGAGGATAGCAATGAGCACATGGATTTGAACAGCATACCTTCGGGCTGGCAGTGTAATTCCTTATCATTAAGCCACCTGAGCTCCTTACTGCTGTACTACAATCAGGCTATTTTGACAACCGTGTGTGGTATGTTCTGAGATCAGGAAGTTTGAGGTCTCTGACTTTGTTCTTCATCTTCAATAATGCTTTTCTTATCTGCAGCCTCTTTGCTTTACAAATAACTAGGGAATGTTTTCTTCCATCCCATTAAGATTTTCATCATAAGCTTAATGGAATTTGGATAGGTACTGCATTACATCCAGGATTGTTTTGGGTGGCACTGACATTTTTGCAATGTTAAGTCTTCCCAGCCAAGAGCTTGGTATATTTTTTTTTTAGCCATATGGGTCTCTTTTTGTTACTTCCAGTAATGTTTTGTAGTTTTGCTTGTATGTCTTTTACATCTCTTGTTAGATTTATTCTTAAGCAGAAGTGACATCTACTTCCTAAACAACATGCCTCCGGAAACTCTATGAACGTTGATAAATATCAATGGTTGTAGAGGGGCTTCAGGCCTTTTGTTCACAGGGTCCCTATGAGTCGTGTGCGACTCGACGACAATCAACAACAACTATAACAACAACATCTTCTACTTCAGGGGCTATTTTAATTAGTATTCTTTTATCTTTCAGAGTTCCTTTTTTCTAATGTAGGGGAGCCTGACTGATATTTTTAATGTGGATCTTGTACCCAGCCAGTTTATTGAATTCCTCTCTTATTAGGAGCTTTCTTATACAATCAACTATGATATCTATGATATCATCAATGAATAGTAATAGTTTTACTTCTTAACCATTTGAAAGCCTTGTGTTTCTCTTTATTGCCTTATTTGTTCTAGTTAGGATTTTCAATACAATACTGAGTAAGGGTAGTGACAAAGGACATCCTTGTTTAGTTCAGGATGGTGTGAGGCGGGCAGTTGCTAGTCTGGGAATGGTTTGAGGAAGGCTCAGGTAGAGGCTGAAGCAGGGACTGTGATCATAAGAATGCACCCCCCCATAGGGAGCTCTGGTGGCCTAGTGGCAAGAAGGTGCACTGCAATCCCAGATATACATGGTTCGAATCCACCAGAAGCTCTTCTGGAGAAGGAGGGGCAATCTCTCCCTATACAAGTCAGATCCCATTTGATGGTACACACACACAAAATAATAAAATAAAATCTAAAAAAAAAAAAAGAATGCACCCCCATTGCTCAGTGTTGGGAATGAGCTTGGGGAGTTTGGTGGGGACTCCTATTGATACTGTATGAGTCTGTAACGCTAGAAACCACCCCTCTACTCACTAACACGGCCCAGGACAGCCACAGGCGAGTTGGCCTGTGTTTGGCTCCTAGCTCCTCCTCTGTTTTGTGAACACTGGGATCTTGGAGCTCTGACCCTCCTTCTTACATTTTTCTCTTCTCAGATGCCCCTTGTTCACCTTGCTTTACTCTAGGCACGGCAACACAGTTTCTATCTCCTTTTAGGAATCCTACAAAGTTACCTTCCTAAATTCATTGTCTGAGATTACAACTAGCTTTATCTCAGGAGAGTCAAATTGCTCCAGGCTGACTGGTACGATGCCTTGACTTCCTTTCTCTTCTAACTCTATATTTTACACCAGATCCTCTTCAAATTAGTGTTCAGGCTCATGTTTCACCCTTTAGTCTGATGCTCTGTGTTCCACAATTGTCATCCTTATCTTTTCACTTGGTTTTTCAGGTCTTTGTTGTAGAGGGAGAGCACAGGGTGTCTAAGCCATCGTCTTCATTATTCTCCTCATGACTTATTATTACAATCATTTAAAGATAGTAAAAGAGAAGGCATGAAACAATTTCCCTATTGGCAGCTCTTTGACTTTAGCTTTACAATTTTTATATACTGGGTCTTCATTTTCATGCTATTAAAAATATTTTCAAATTTCTTAAGGATTTTCTGTGACCCTTAGGTTGCTTAAAAATGTGTTATATTATTTCTAAATATAATTTGAAGGGTTTCTACATAACCTCTTATTATTTATTTCTAACTAGTACTGTCACAGTCAAAACAAATATTCTGCATTATTAAATCTTTTTAAGCTGTTCAGAATACAGTCTACCTTGGTGAATTTTCCAGGTATCTCAGCAAGAATTTTGAAGCTGTTGGAAATTATTGTGCAAAAACTTCTGAAGCTTCATCTTCTCCATTCTCTTCTAAAGACTCTGCTATTGAATTCTTGAAGTCAAATGTTTCTGCTTACACTGTATTTTCTCTTGGTCCCAGTTAATTATATACGATCCCCACACTGTATCCTTCATTTTCTCCACACTAGGGTCTCTCAGGCTGGCATTTGATGTACAAAGTAAAGATAAATCTCAAGAAGTTAAAGCCATTTAACAGCCATGCACACTGCTTGTCAAATAAAAGAACATCACAGTATAGACTCTCTTTTTGGTCCCTTTTATTCCTTTCTATATGTGATATGTATCTTTGTTTGTTTGAGAGGTAAATTTTTGGAAGAGGAGAGAGAGCAGTGAGGACAAATACAGGCATTGTATACATAGGATCAACTGTAGATTCTTTGTGAAATATAACCTCACTTCCTCTCAGGAGGGGGCTTATGTGGCACATGAGCTGGTTTTTACACTAATATTCTTATTTGTTGTCATTAGACGGCATCAAGTTGCCTCTGACCCATGGTGACTTGATAACAGAATGCAATATTGCCCGGTCCTAGGCCACTTCCAGGATCACTGGCTGAGTTCACTGTTTATTTGTTGTTGTTATGAGCTGTCGAGTTGTAACTGACTCATAGTTGACCCACCAGAGGGTTTTCAGAAGCTGTAAACTGCTGGGGAGGTGACTGCCTATCTTTCTCCTGTAAGCGAGGTGGGTAGACTTGAACCGTCTGTCTTTGAGTTGACACTGAAACACTTTACCCATTAGGCCACCAGAACTCCTTATTTGCTAGTAAATAAATGTGCAAGAAACTCTGGTAGCACAACAGTTAAGTGCTCAGGTGCTAACCAAAATATTGGTTCATCAAATTCACCAGCAAACTCATGGAAGGAAAGATCTTGTCCATCATTCCTGCAAGGATTTGTTGTTGTTGGCACGGATGTTACAGTCAGACTCAACTCAGAGCCGATGCTCCAGCGGGTGTCCAGAGGCAGCAAATTATATGGGAGGAGATTGTCCATCTTTCATGTAAAGAGTAGCTGTGGATTCAAACCACGTGCCTTTGGGTTGGCAGCTCAACTCCTTACCATCATTATTATGCCATCAGAGCTCCCTTACAGGTTAGGAAATCCTCCTGGGAAGTTCTACTCATTGATATGGAGTTGGAAATTGACTCAACGGCACCTAACAGTGACGGTTACATATGTAATGAAACCCCACTGCCACAATCAATTCTAACTCACAGAGGTCTTCCAGGACACAGCAAAATGGCCTCACAGGGTTTCCAAAGCCATCTTCTTCAACAAAGCAGAATGCCACAATTTTACTAGAGAGACTGATGAGTTCAAATGCCAACTCTCTTGGTTAACAACTGACTTAAACAAAGACTTAAACTGAACAGTGTGCCACTATGATAGCTTTCTGTTTAGCGTTGTTGTTGTGTACCATTGAGCCAGAACCAGCCCACAGCTGACCCTCCAGGGGGTTTTCAGAGGCAATTTCTTGAATGGGAGATTGTCCATCCTTCTGCTATGGAGAAGCTGGTAGATTCAAAACCATCTGCCTTTGGGATTGCAGTGCAGGTTCTTACCGTTATGCCACCAGAGCTGCCTTGTGTTTAATAGAGAATATATTTAGAAACTGCACTTCAATCCCCAAGAAATGCAGTTCGAATCCACCAGCTGCTCCATGGGAGAATGATGGGCAATCTTCTCCCATGCAGCAAATAACAGCCTCTGAAAACCCGTTGGAGGGTAAGCTATGGGTCACTTCCAATTCAACGGTACTCAACAACAACAACAACAACAACAACAACAACGGCATCTACCCTACGGAACGGAACTCTGTTAGCTTAGTGGTAAGAAATTATACTGCTAATGCAAAGGTATATGGTTTGATTCCATCCACTGCTCCACTAGAGAGAGATAGGCAATCTTTCCCTGTGTGATTTATTGTCTCTGAAAACCCACTGGAGGGTCAGTTATTGGTTGGTTCTGACTTGACAATATACAAAAAACCAAGCCTATGATTTCCAAGGTCATTTAAGCTTGAAAAGGAGATTATCTGGAGTAAAACAAAATTAAAAACTAAGTCAATAACATAGGGGATAGGAAGGTATATATTCAGATGGCAAACTGTGGACATAACTACAGTCAGTGCCATTTTCCACTATTCATTACTGCAATTAAAAGTGAACTACTTTGCCACTATCTTTAAGCTCTCCTACACCCTTCTGTATCTGACAATCCCGATTTGAGAATGAGACACTTTGCATCATTCACCTTAGGGAAGCAATCTGATTGTACTTTACAGTTATGCGGGCTTTCCTGTTCCAGAAAGTTCTTCCTTGGCTATATTACAATCTGGACCATCTCAACAGGAAATATGGTGGGGAACAGGAGTGCCCAGGGCCCCACTGTTGCCCATGCTTTCACCCACCCCCCCCACCCCCCGCCACGCTTGCAGCATGCAGAAGGGCGCTCACCTTCTCCCATTCCCGGTCCTTGTTCAGCACAATCACCACCAGCCGTGGGTGCACCTGGTAGCCTTCCTCAGTGAAGGACAAGTCTTTACCATCCCACGTTACATTGACCATAAATCTGGAGGGAAGAAGAGAGAAAGATGAATGTCCAGGAAAGGTTTGAAGAGTCACTCCTACGAACAGACAATGCCCTCAGATTAACACTGATCAAGTGTCGGCTGAAAACACCACCACCACCCTGCCTCATCATGAAGGCCCGGAAAGCTTTGACCTGTGACAGCCCTGGCGCCCATGCAGACACTGAAAGGGGCCCCCTTCCCAGCACCGCTACTCATTCTTAGAATCTCCAACCATATTGTAAAACCAAGAATCCAAACTTGTCACCATTAAATCGATTCTGATTTATAGCAGCCCCACGTGTTTCCGAGTAGAACTGAGCTCCCAGGGATTTCAGAGGTACAACAGTTAGATGCTTAGCTGCAAACCTTAAGGTTGGTGGCTCGGACCCATTTAGTGATTCTCCAAGATACAGAACTGGCAATCTGCTTTCCAAGAGATTTCTATGGGGTTGTTCTGCACTGTTATATAAGGTCATTATGAGTCAGAATTGACTCAACCCAACAATAACAATCTTAAAGAAGAGGATTGCCAGGCCTTCCAAGGCACTGATGGGTAGATTTCAACCTTTGGGTCAGTAACTGAGCACTTTAACATCTGTGCCACCCTGGGACCTCCAATCCCGTATTAGCAGGAGTAACTGACAATGGCCAGCACTTAGAATGGCCTCATCTCACACTCGTGAGGCTTCTGCTCCAACTGGCTTCTTACTTGAGGCTCTGAAAGCACACTCTACTACATTTTTAATAAGCTTCATTAGAGGAAGCTACTTTCTTATAAACTAAATAATTAGTGTTGTTGTTAGGAGTCATGGAGTCAAGTACTAATCATAGCAACCCTATAAACAACAGATCTGAACCTTGTCCAGTGGTGAGGATTTTTGTTTTCTTGATGTTGAAATGTAACCCACATTGAAGACAGTCTTCCTGGAACTTCTGCAGAAAGCTCTTCAAGCTACGCTTTCAGCAAGCGAGGCTGTGCCATCTGCATAACATAGGTTGTCGATGAGGATTCCTCCGATCCTGACGCCACATTACTCTTCATAGAGTCCAGCTTCTTGAATAATTTGCTCAGCATACAGACTGAATATGTATAAAGTAATGATAAAACTCTGACACACACCTTTCTTAATTTTAAACCAAGCAGTATTCCCTTGCTTTTTCTGGTTATAGGTTTCACGTGAGCTCAATTAAGAGTTCTGAAATTCCCATTCTTCTCAAAGTTATATATATTACCTATTATTACATACTTTGGACATGTTACCTGGAGGGTCCAGTCCTTGGAGAAGGACATCAAGCTTGGAAGGGTGGAGGGAGAGTGCAGGGAAAGAAGGCCCTGGGTGAGACAGATTGACATAATCACTGGGGTAGGTGTGTTGGAGACAATGAGATTGGTTCAGGATAGGGCAGGGTTCACCAGCTGTTCAGTGTAGGGTCGCTACAAGTTGCAGTCACTTCGGCAGCAAACAACAATCACAATATTTCTTGAACATGTGCTATCCACCAAGACTCAGCTGGTGGCTGGGGATAAACAGGGAAACAGACAGGACCACTGTCCTCATGAAGTTCACGGTCAAAGACAGAGGATGAGTACTAATTGGTTCATTACAGAACTGTGGCCAATGGTACAAAAGAGGCAGGTATACTATGAGAGCATAAGAGAGACTTCAGGAGACAAAGAACACACAAGGGACCAAGGCAAGGGCAGACCACCCTGGGAAGAGTCGAGGTAAAGAAAATACAGCTATTGCCATTATCAATAGGAGCAAAATAGACATATATAATTGTTTATAAAGGAAAAGGGGGAAGGGGTATCAGAGTTTGGCAGAAGGAAGTGAAATTCACCCAAACAGCAGAGATTAGTTGGGGAGTAAGGGGGTGCAGGGCTAGGTAAGGTGCAATGGGGACTTGAGCAGAAGTAAACAATTATATTAAAACACGATATACAGAAATGCTTGTATAAAACAAAATGTACTTGAATGAAGAAATGTGCACGAATGATTATAGAGAAGTGAATGATAGTGTCAAGTGTCAACAAATAACACACTTATTTAAAAAGGACGTCAGGCAAAGCTTCTGCAGGGGATGCAGCTGGACATGAAAGATGAGTCCGCACTATTGAGGGAAGGAAAACACATAGAAGCATCCTATTGACAAAGGATGAGGGGGCACTGGTGGCAGCAACTTCAATTTGTGACTCAGGTATTTTCATTGCAAGTGACATCTCTTTTAACACCGGTCCCCTCACCACTCCTCAAAGCCGCTGTGCCTGTGTCCAGTGAAGAGTCATGGCGGAGCTGACCTGCCAGTATTTGCATGGGTGGATCCCTGAAGTGTCCAGATATCCTTATAACTTGAGAAGAACGTGGTGATTATTAAAGAGAGAACATGAAGACCACAGTGATGGCCACTTAGCAAAGGCTCGGGAAATATTGTAAGGAGCACTGAAGCATTCATAAACTTGCCCGGAAATTCAAGAGCAAGTGAAAATGCTGAGTGAACTGACTTAGCCTCATAAGGATAAATACTGCAGAAGGTTATTATTGTAGAAATATAAGGATAACTAGTAAGATGCGAATAAAAGTCCAAAAGAGGAAGGGATGGGAGCAGAAGGGCTGAGGGTGGAGGGATTGGAAATCACTAGGATAACAGAGTTTGAGGGGTGAATGAAGGAATGAAAGATTCCATGAGGACTTGAAAAGACAGCGTAATAGTAGACATAGATCAATGTGATTAATTTTATAAAACACAATGTATATGAGTCATCATTTGAAACACAATGTGGTTGGTTTTTTGTTTTGTGTTTTTTTGTTTGTTTGTTTGTTTTACTGCCTCTGAAAACCCACTGGAGGATTGGCTATGGGTCAGTTCCAATTTGATGGCAGAAGCCTGGTGGGTAACAGGTCTCTTGAAAATATTTGTTAACTAAATAAATGATCTTGCTAGGAAATGTTCAGAAACACCCTATAAGCCCCACATGACATACTAATTACTCTGTGCTTCTGCCAGAATGACAGTATTTTGTTTTCCTGTGCCTTAAAGTGAATGTATTTGCTCAATACAAAACCAATACATTTGGGGTGTAAAAGATGAACAGAAGTAAAGAAAATACAGTCATCCTTCCATCCACAGACAAGCCCTGTTTTCAATCTCTTTAATATGCATTTAGGAGTCCTGGTGGTGCTGTGAAATGCTAGGCTGTTAACCTGGCAACCTAACAGCTCTGCTGCTAAAAGATGCAGTAATCTCCTCCTGTAAAGATTATTCATGCTCCTGACATTGAGTCGGAACCAACACATAACTGAGCATATGGTGCATTCTTGAGGCTGTAAATCACTCAGATTTCCCATCTTTCTCCTGAGGAGCAGTTGGTGGATTTGAACTCTCAGACAGGCATGGCCAGCCTAGCAGCACAACTGCATCAGCATAGCCCCCTTCTCATAAAGACTGCTGCTGTTGTGGACCATTGGCTGGAACTGACGTATAGCTGAGGTTCCTTCCGCGGGTTTCCAGAGGCAGTTCACTGCATGGGAGGAGACTGTTCCTCCTTCTACAATGGAGCAGCTGGGAGATTCTAACCATGTGCCTTTGTGATTGCAACACAGCTTCTTATGACTAAGCCACCAGAGCCCCCTCTCTTAAAGAGCACAGCCTCCAAAACGGGATGGGGCAGTTCTGCTCTTTCACACAGAATCACGATGAATCAAAAGTTACTCAAAGTACCGAACGATGACATATTTCTCTCACATTAAATGGTGAGCACGTTGTCTCGTCATGAGCTTTTCTTTTTTTTAAAAAAAAAATATGTTTTTTCTTTCCGGCAGTGACCTCCGCATGCCTCTTGCAAAGACTCTCCTTCATCCTTCTCCAGAAGAGAAGAGGAAACACAAGAAGAAGCACCTGGTGCGGAGCCTGAAGTCCTATTTCATGAGTGTGAAATGTCCAGGATGCTATAAAACCACCACGGTCTTCAGCAGTGCACAAACAGTAGTTTTGGGTGTTGGCTGCTCCACTGTTCCCTGTCAGCCTAGAGGAGAAAAAGCAGGGCTTACAGAAGGATGTTCCTTCAGACGGAAGCAGCATTAAGGAAAAAAAAATCAAGATGAATGGAAATTATCTCAATAAACAGAATTTTTGGATTAAAATAATGGTCTTTTAAATGGCATAAATAATCCACTGAAGCAAAAGTTCCTCAAGTTTCTTCACTTTGTTCTTGATTCTCTCCATGCCACAGAACCAAAATGTCCTACCCCTGGTAGCCTAGGAATGGACAAGGTGACCCAGTTGTTGTTACTGATAGAGAAATAAAAAGAAATAAATTTAAAAACCCACATAATGCCTAACATCTGTCTCCCTGCAGGTTCTTACAAATTACAATACAATCATGCCACTTGTAACTCAGTGGACATTGAGTATAAGAAGCTATAAGAACATAGAAGAAGAGTTGAAGATTGGGGGTTGGGAAGGCTTTCTGGAGAATTCTAGATGAACTGTTGTGTACAGTTGAGTCAGAACTGACCCATCGCTGACCTTCTTGCAGGTTTTCAGAGGCAGCAAATCACACAGGAGGGGAATGCAGAACAGCTGGTGGATTTGAACCACATACCTTTGGGTTGGCAGCACAACTCCTTACCAGAGCTGTCTAGAGGATCAGTTAGGGATGCATTAAATTAAGGAGATTATGGGAGGTGGTAGAAGAGCATTCTAAATAGAGGAGTTATCATAAGTAAAGAAAAATTGGCCAAGGAGTGAAAATCTAGGAAGCAGCTTAGTAAGCCGTGGGGCTGTACAGAGTGCCTGTTGCCAGATCATAGGAACCTCATATGACACCCTAAAGTGTCTGGATTCTATTCAGAAGGCCATGAGATTCCATGAAAGATTTTAAGAAGAGATGTGATGTACTCAGATTGGCTACCAACAGAAGCAGAAAGAAAAATACTTCTTTGTATTTGAAGAAAACATCAACACTTTTGTTTATGGCATAAAACTGTTGTGTAGACAA